CAGGGAAACTCTTCCAATGTGCAGGAAAAGTGTGTGGGAAGTTTCAGAAGCGATTTGTCAAACTGACAGTCAGTTTATGTAAAGCATATGGACAAGGTTGATACCACTGTAATCTCCTGTGTCAGAAATGCTATTGAGTTACCGGTTCAGCTGGCAGTTCTGCTGCTGAGTTTCTTTCTGTGACAGCGTTGTTTAGACTTTTCTGTTTGTGTACAGATCTAATGTATCTGTGCAGCTTTAGAGGCGACGACGGCAGTGCTGTGCACCAGACTCCACCATATGTCGTGTAGCGACGATGGTAGAATCAGACCACAGCAGTAAGTCTTTCTGCTGTACCGGGGAAACTCTCCCGCTGGGACGAGGGGGTCTGGTTCTAATCCCTCCCCAGATCTTTATTGGTTTTATGTTGGTGGCTCAGTGTGGCTACTTCCTGTTCTTTGAACATGAGAGGCAGGTGAAAACCAGGGGAGCTGAAAGAACATAGGTGAAGATGTTTGGCAAATGTTGTCGACTTTTTGATCGGATTGATCGTCCAGGTCTCTTTTGAAATGTAAAAGCTGCTCTGATCGAAGTACCTAACCTAGTACTGTTGCATATTTCTGATCTTTTTTAGGAAAAAAAAATGACGATCTTCTCTGAAGATTTCGTACTTGAGGTGAAGGGTGAAGGAAACTATTTACAAATAGTTGAAGTTGTGTACAGCAAGACAAACAGTAATGGTTAGCCAAAAACTGCACAAAAACTCTTAACATAGTATTATTTTAAAAATACCCAAAGAGTTAAAGTGAGTGTTAGTTTAGTTTTGAAAATTAGATCAAAAATTTTAAAAATATCTAGAAAATTATCTAAAACTAATTTAAGATGAAAGTAGAATGTTAGCCTAGCTTAGCATAATCTGGTAAAAGTTAGCAGAAATGATGACATAACTCCAAAAAAAGTACAAAAATAATTTAAGAAATATTATTTAAAATTATTAAATTTAATTGTTTATATGTTTTTTATTTTTATTAATTAACCAAAAATCCAAAAGAATTAGCTAAACGTTCTAGCTGCAGAACACTGATGTCTGGAAATGATAAAAAACTTGGAACATATTTCACTCGTTTGTGAGTTTCTGTAACTGTTGACAGGCCGTAAAGACCTGGTGACGTAACTTAAGATACGCTGTTGAACCTACAGCATATCCACATTTATACTGTGGACCGTCTCCTGGGACTGAGCCACTGCACTTGTCAGTGCGTGTGGCGGTGGCTGCCGCACACACGTGTCTGCATCTGGTTTATCTGTTAGACTCCGTGACCGAAGAACAAGCTTCAAATTCAGCCGCCGCGTCTTCTGTGTCTACTGCAGTTCCATAAAACTTGCATCGTACGGCAGAAATACGAGCGGTCTGAATAGAAAGTACAGACACCAGAGTCAAAGGGTTCTAATAATAGAACTGAGGTGAAGCATAATGGGAAAAACGGTTTCCCTGCGTCACGAGTTGCCATGACCGTCTGTTGAAAGCAGCTCCGACAAAACTCCGGTCAAAGATGCTGTGAGGACAAGCAGCTGGGAATATTTCATTCAGGACAGGTTCCTGCTCCGTCCGGAACGTTCGTGTCGCTGCAGCAGAACATCAGGGCTCAGATCGATGGTTCTCTATGGCTTTACCTGAAATAACCTGCTGTGTTTAAAGGGCGGGAATCGTGTCCTGTCTGTCTGTCTGTGGGTCTGACTCACCTGAGGGGTTTTTTACATTTTTGTCTGTGGCCTTTTTTTTTGCATTCAATGTATTTTTGCTACATAGGCTAATGTAGCTATTTCGTCATTTATTATTACATAAGCTAAAGCTGGTTCATGTTCGATGTGTTACCATATTTTGGTTAATTTGTAGCTATTTGAAACTTAAACTGGACTTTAGCCTGAATGCTAACTTAAAACAATTTTCCTAACATTCTCGTTTTTTAACAAATGAGACTTGTTTATTGCTTAAAAATAACTTTAAAAAAAACGTTGAAAAAATCTTTGGCCTTTTTTTATTTTTTAGTTTTTTTTAGTCATGTGATGACTGTTTTAAGTGAAAGATTAGTTGAAGTTACATTGCTGTGAGAGCTGTAAAATAGTGTCACCTTTGACCTATTGTCGACTTTAAACAGTTTACAAATCTGTCCAAAATTGGCTGCCATGCACTGACTGATTTTCAGTGTAACAAAAACATCTCATCCACTCCTCTATTGTGTTAAAATGCAGCTTATGCGACTTTAATATTTAGCCCACATTACCACCAGGGGAGCAGTTCGCCCTCAGGTAATGAGGGAAAAAAAAAAGTTTGGATGGATTTGATCGATGAAAACAGACAATAAATCTCGTTGCAGGACATGAACGGACACGTTTGATTGGCCTGTCGATAGATCGCCATCCAGTTGTTTTATTTTAATCATGTTGTTGAAGTTTTGTCTAGACGGAGGCAAAATGTAGCTTTAATACCTGCCAGTGACGTCAGTTCCTACCTGTAGGTGAAAACAAGGGGTGAGAACATGGTAACATTTCCACAGATGCTGCCTTAACACACACACACACACACACACACACACACAGTGGCCCAAGGCCATTCAACAATAAGAGGCCTATTACAGCACTGGCATTGGTAATAAAAGCGTCATGGTTATTAAATAGCCGGGGTAAGAAAAACTAAATGTGAAGGAAAAATAATGGTCAGTGATGATGGTTTTCACTGTTTTCATTACTCGCTTCAATAAGTCCTTGTAATTTGAATGAATTGAATTTGACAGCGGCGGACAATTGCGTCAATAAAGTGTTCCAGTTAAAACCACAGGGAGAGAAAAAAAGGGCTGCGAGGGGAAGTTCAGCTCGGAGTCCGCGTGATTCCGAGGGGACGCGGCGGTAGATTACTGCGAGCAGTCGACGGGGAAACGAGGCATTAAAGTGCCATCTAATGAAAGGTCGCAATTCTTTGTGTTTGGAGGCAGCGTGCTGCATTAGCTGTGACGTTGGTTCCTTCACCTGCTGGACCGAAGCTGTGCTTATGTAAAGGAGTCGTTTTGTGGTGAACCAAGAAAAGGATTTTGACCTCCTGTGTTCCTCGTTGCGCTGTGATTGGCTCACTGCTGTTTATTCAAACTTTTCAGAGTTCAAGCTTGATTTTTTTTCCCGTAATAAAAGCTTCTTTAACAACAGTCAACAGATGCAACAATGAACTGTTAGTGGGTAAAAAAGTGTTTGCTATATGTCATTCGTCTGTTAGCTTAAAAATAGCTGAAATTAGCAAAAATGACTGAATGTAATTTAGTAAAAAGGAAAGTTGCAAAAAGTCTTAAGCAAAGCAATTTGTATCAAGTCCTACAACTTGGCATGAAATTGCTAAAAAATAGCAAATATCAATAAAAAGTAAATCATATATATATATATATATATATATA